TCGCTTTCCTCGGATGACGAAGACGATTCACTCTGGTCACTTACATTTGCCATTTTTTTATGATTGTCACTTTCCTCTAGTTCACTTGGATAGTCTACATTCACCATTATTTAATTTTTTGTTTTTCCAGTAACGAACGGCAATATTTATATATAAAATATAAAGTGTTATAACTCAGGAACAAAATATTTTAGCAAAAATCCCTCTTACAGATTTGTTGCCTTTATCTGGGCTACAATTCTGTTAGGATAGATTTTATAACGATAATTTTTATCTGAAAATTTGGCGTTTAAGATAAAATTGACCAATCATAATCAATGATGTAATCTCCCATCTTTTTTTCAAAAAAAAAAAAAAAAATTCTAGAAGCCACGAAACTGATTGGTGAAACAAATAGTCATTCTAATTTGTTTGGAAGTCTTTTTTGATGCATCAACATAATTTACATAAACAAATACGTCAATATCATAATTTCTGTCCGCATGCGCGACGCGTAATTGTATGACTGTTTTGAACAACAAACTGGTAATACCGATATAGTATGATAAATAAAAACACAACGTGTACTAACAAAAATTACCCTTTATAATGCTTCGGATTCTAAATAAACACAACTATGAAGAAAAGCAAGGATGGTATGAAAATTTTCTACTTATGCTTTTTTCTTCATTTGAGAGAGCTTCACCTGCTTGCGTGGTGTTGTCTTTTTTTATTTCTTTCGGAGTATCTTCTCCACTGAAATAACCCCCGAAGTATCTTCTTTTTGGAGGATCTTCATCTTCTGGAATGCTTTTCTTTTGGGAGATCTTCTAGAATTCATTCCATTCCTTTTGGAGCGTGTTCACAAAGTGTTTTCTCTCCTTTTGGAAACCTTTTCGTTCCAGTTGAAGTGATTTCTCTTCTTTTGAAGTGACTTCTCTTCTTCTGGAATGGTTCCCTCCATTTGGGGAAAAAAAAACATGCCGCAAGCTTTGAAAAGGAAGCTAGTTGTTTTTTTATACAGAAAGCTAAATTATTTTTTATATTTGCAGAAAATACATCCCCTCGTCGCTGTTTGACCCTTCTCTTTTTTTTTCGAATATCGCGGGGGTTTTTTTTTTTAAGATGAATTACATATAGTACAATTAGTCTAGTGTAAATAGTTAATTACTTAGTAATAATCACGAAAAGATGTAATAAAACTTGTACAAATAAAATCGTATTTAATAAAGCTTGTACAAATAAAATTGTATTTAATAAAACTTGTATTTTTTTAAAAGTTCGTTATGGAAAGTTTTAGTAAAATGTATTTATAAAGTTATAATAAAGATTTTGATATATTCATTGATTGATAACGAAAACGTATATATTACAAATTATGATAATCGCGTGTAAATTATCAGTTAAGCAAATTTACGGCATACAACTTTAGTTATGAAAAAAAATAATAATAATATTGCAAAATGGTCTTCGCACAACAAAATTGTACTAATCCAAACTAATAAAATCATTACGAATATTCATCTCTTCCTCTATTGGTTCATTGTCCGCGTATCCTATAGACAAGAAACAATTAAGAAACCAATTAGTATATTTATATATTTTTTGAAATTCACACAAATGCTGTGCCAAAAGTTGCGTTTGACTGAAATTATGCCTTGTAAATCAGATCTTTAAGTAAGAGAATAATATCTTACCCCATTTTGATAATAACTCCACCAAAGGTTTCACATTGATCCACCACGACTTCTTACCTTTACGAAACTCAAACTCGGTATCTGATAGCAAATCAGTTACAGGCTAATAAAAACAAAAGTAACATAAATAATTTAGTTTTAAAAAACATACTATAGCATTTATTTTAAATGAATAGATCATACCGTACAAACGACTTGTGCACCATTAATTCCAATAACAGCAGCAGATTGTTTGTCCTTTGTATAAACCCTTGGGTTATCAGAAGATTCAGAAGATTTGGCATGTTTTTCTAAGAATGATACGCATTCCACAGCAAATTTTGTGGCGCGAATTCGATCCATTGGCGAAGGTGCACCACCTTGCTGAATGTGTCCCAGAATAGAAGTTCGTGAATCGAAAAGTCCTTTACCTTCAGCCTTTATGATATTTGCAATAACATCTGTTGTATACGTAGTCGATACCGATTCATTTCTGTATATAAGTTAATATTTAGTACAATTAAAAAAGTTATTATCAAATTATAATTATTTACCTAAGGATTAAACGTCCAGAACTAGTACGGTTTTTATCTGCCCCGAATCTGCGAACCAGATGATTCAAATCTTCCTGAAGAGTTTGAAGGGACAAACCATATTCTGGGGAGTATACATTCGTAGCACCAACCTATAAATAAAATTATCTGCGTCAGTAAAAAGAATAAAAAAAACCCCCAAAGGTATCAAAAAGTATCAGTTTATTTACCGCAAGACCAGCCATCACAGCCAAATAACCACAATTACCACCCTGTACTTCTACAACGAACACACGTCTTCTAGAAGCGGAAGCAGATTGCTTGAGGACGTCACAATTGTCGACTATAGCGTTCAAGCTTGTGTCGCAGCCTAATGAAAATTCAGTGCCTGGAACATTGTTCGAAATAGTGGCAGGAATACACACCATAGGAATACAAAAAGCAGGATATTTATCCCTAGCATCATTTAATTTTATTAAGGAAGAATATGCTTCGAAACCTCCAATAAGAAGTAAAGCATTTATTCCTTGCTTTTGTAAATGATGTGCGACTAAATCTAAATTATATACTTCAGTCTTGGTAGTTCCAAGTTCTGAACCACCTTTTGATGTCCAATCATCAACATCTAACCAATTAAGTTCACGGACATTTTCTTGTAG